CAGCAAGGGGCTGGGAGGCTGCAGCCTGCGGCAGGGGTGCAGGGCCCTGCGATCCGCAGTGGAGTGGCGCGAGTCCCCAGTGACTCAGCCCCAGCGAGCACCACTGTCGTTGCTTCAAGCCGCCAATCTCTCCACACCCCACAGCTGCGGAGAAGGAAGTTCCACACCCCACAGCTGCGGAGAAGGAAGTTCCACACCCCACAGCTGCGGAGAAGGAAGTCGGCGCCAAGCAGGTGTCTCCAGCCGAGGAACGTTTCCCCCACAGCTGCCCGCAGTAGGACAGGGTGCGGCCCCTGCCACCGAAAGGGTTTATCCTGAAGTTACCATTTAGCAGAGGGGAAAAGCAGATTAGAAGCAGCCGCAAACCCGACTCCCAGTGAAAGACGAGTAGATAGGAAGCAGGTGTCCATGCAGACAACTATTCTCAGAAGGAATATTGTGGAACCAAAACCATAGAGAAGCTGTGTGCGCTCGCAGTGTGGGGGGAAAGGGTGATGAGGAAGCGATGCATTAGATACTCTCAGAGCACACATGGGGAAAACCGCGGGACCGAGTGCAGGACGCTGTGCTCCCTCTGCAGGAGCTGTCGCTCAGTTGGGAGCCGGCTCTGCTGATCAGGGACCTGCCTGGAGCCTGCGCAGAGTCACTGCACCTGACACCAGGGCCGGTGCGGGTTGGGCAGAAGCTTAAGTCATCCTGAGCACCCTGGGTGCCTGGTGCCAGGAGGGAGTGGGCAAACAGGAGGCTCCTCCAGTTTGTACCCAGTGACTGGAAACCAAGCGCTCCTTCTCAACAGTGTATGGGATATGAGGACACGATTTCTAACTTGGGAGGCTTTGGGCCTCTGGCAGCTGGAATCGACCTCTGGTCCGTAACTGCCATCTGGTCCTGAACTGGGAGAACAACCTGCCACCCGCCTGGCCTGGGCTCTGCTGTCCAGATCCCAACTGCCTGTGGCCTGCTCAGCCCTGACCTGTCCTCCATGTGGCTTCAGTCCTGTTGTCCTCATGCCTTGCTACTGGCTCTGAGGACCTGCTCAGAAGCCCTGCTTCTAGCTCCTCCCAGTCTCCTCTCTGAGGTTTGTTTGTTTATTTGTTTCAGATTAATACCAGGGGACAAATGTATGGGTGACATTTTTGCATTTCTTTTTTTTTTTT